GACTTCGGCTCTCTCGCGCTTCGACACTTTCGGGCTTCGGCATTCTCAAGCTTCGGCACTCTCTATCAAATTTATATGTATAGAGATATATATATAAGAACATGCACTCTCAGGTTTCGGCACTCTGAGGATTCGACATTCTCGGGTTTATTCGAATTGCACACGTAGCGATGTACTGCGGATTTTGGACCCTCTAGGTTTTTATTTTTTCTTTCGGGTTTTTTAGCTGGGGATCCTCTATCCCTCTTTTTGTAACTTCTTTTGAGTAATCAACGCGTAAGAAGTCACGAGTTGCTCTTTTGCGGATTTTGGACCCCCTAGCTTTTTATTTTTTCTTTTGGGTTTTTAAGCTGGGGATCATCTATCCCTCTTTTTGTAACTTCTTTTGCGTAATCAACGCGTAAGAAGTCACGAGTTGCTCTTTTATTAAAAAATATATATATACATTCTCAGTCTTTGATATTCTCAGGCTTCGACACACTCTCTCTCTCTTTGTTTATATGTGTGTGTACATAAAAGAATAATATGATAAATTTATAAAATGTCATTCTCAATCTTTGGTATTCTCAGGCTTCGACACACTCTCTCCTTTGTTTATATGTGTGTTACATAAAAGAATAATATGATAAATTTATAAAATGTCCTGATGCTTATTTTTATAAAATAGAAATAGCTGCAACTTTCTATCCAACTTTGTTAGACGGCTGCCTTGGGCAACGAAGAAAGGTATTTGAAAAAACCCTAACTCTTGAGATATGACTTCAAAGTGTATTCCATCTGGCAGCTTTGTTTCGTTTGTTGTAATTATTCAAAACTAAATAAAATAAGAGCTGAAGGCAGGCCAAAGGCCAATGGCCATCATGTTTTCATATTTATGACACATCAGATAAGAACAATTTCTGAATTAATATTTTGCTGAAAAAATATAATATCTTATCCTTTTAAGAAATTCCTAGAAAGATCATCACCTGAACAATCACTTAACTCTTTATTTATCAAATATTTGGGTGGCATATAAAACACTAAATGTTGAGCTTTGTAAAAAACATGAATAGAAAATCAAATTATTGTAACCACATACAAACATTATGGACAAAATTTTAGTGAGTATGTACACCTCTAAGCCGGTGCATGTTCTCGCACCTAAGTTGAGAACTTTTTGACCTCTCTTGGATCCTAATGGTTGTAGCTTTGTCTATGAATGCTTTTTAATGAATATTTAGTTCTCCATTGAAGAAAATTTTCAAATAAGAATATGAGAATAAGTTTGGTTTGTATTAATTTGACTAGACAAAAAGGGTGAAAGGATAGGATCAAGGCATATTGAATTCCCATGTTGATGTATGTCATATTATGTGTAGTAGGATACTAACCTGTTACGAGTTGATATTTACTTTTATACATGCATTCTTCTTTCCATTCTTGTATTTTCTTATATGACATGCATAGAATAGAAAACAATTTTGGGGTAGGGAATGACACATATATACTTGCCTTGGAGTGATTTACATAGCTAAGTTATGAACTGTACTTTAATGTAGGTACTCGTGACAGAATCTTGATAATGAGACAATATTATCTAAGATGTTTCTTAAGAGATGTAAATACTTATTCAAGGAGGGGGGTTATATTACTTTCTTGATAATTAAGTAATTCAGCTTCTACCACAACTCTAAAAGATCTCAGAATAATTAAGACATTGCAATTAAAAAAATATGTGGTTAATCAAAGATACATTCAGCCTTCTAGTTGTCAACTAAAGTAATTTCATTGATTCATGACTTTTAAATTGATTATGATATTATGGAGTTCATCTTATCTACTTAGGAAGTTTAGAGACTCAAAATTTTTAAAAGAAGTGCACTCAACTAGATATTGTAATTCTTGATAGAATTGAAAAAAAGAAGAAAAAAGTAAAAAGAAAATAAAAAATTACGAAACAATGGATTTAGAAGAAAAATCAAAAGAAGTGGCTAATTTCATTGAGAAGAATCTTGAGGTAAGCTTGAAAATAAAAAATGGGTGTCCAAGTCCTTTTTTGATTAATAAGACTTAACTCTATTAATAGAATACTTATGATATTATAAACAGAAACAATTAAGAGATTTTAGGTTGTTTGACTATTAGTTGATTTAAAATGGCCTTGGTATATGAAACTATTTTAATCACACCAACTTAAAAGTTTGAGATCTGCTTAGGATAAGAAGTGGGGATTTTAGAAAATGACTAGCTTATTTGAAATTAATGAAAAATCACCCTGAGATGATATTCACATGCCTTTCATTTCACTTTTATAATCTAGTTAGAAAATTAAGGAGTCTCACATGAGAGTTATGAAGATCATTAGAGTCTCAATTAAGATGTAAGATTATTTGAAGGCAAGTAATAGGTAAATTTTTTGGAATTTACATGAGATAAATTTATGTGATTTTATCAATTAAATTGTTGTGTTTTCTTTGTTATTTATTATGATTTTACACAGGTAGAAGGTTATTTGTTATATTTTACAGTTTATAGAAGTCAAACATGGCTCATAGTGCTAATTCGCATTGCAATCTATGGAGCTGACTTACGTAACCAGCTTAAATATGATAGAGACTGTGAGCTTGCTCTTGGTCGGACTTAGTTACATTATCATTCAACATGGCTACACCAACCATGGTATGGTTACACCACCATCAACCTGAATTTATTTTGGCAAGAAATTTCATTCTGATTTTGGCTAGAGGTATAAAAGATATAAAATCGACACCACCTAGTGGGAGTGAGGCGGGCTTTGGAGGCTCTTTAGAATAGGAGTTAGATTTTTAGTACAAACCTTAGGGTTATCTTCTTCTTGCTTTTGGGAGGGAAATTCTAAAGTGGTTTTTCTCTTAAGTTCTTAGAATGTTTGCATGAGAGAATGGTTGGCTGCTGCGTGAGAGATATTGTGGAGATTGATTATTTTAAGGTGAGGATTCAGTGTATTGATAAAAAGTACTTGACAACATTGTAAGTTTATTTCTTCTTGTACTTTTATCTCTCATTATTGCAAGGAAATTCTCTATAGCTTTCCCTCTCATGTTTTATGGCAAAGTTGTTTGCATGCTTCTATGTTGTAACGATAGTTTTTCTTTATGTTCTACCTCGAGTTTTTTCCTCAGATGTGTTTATTGTGCTTCTAAATAATGCATGTTGATGCATTAACATTTTAATCATCGTTGACCCATAATCTGATCAATTAGGTAGTTAAAACTCCTTGTGATCTTGGACTTCTAACCATCATCTAGAAGAACAAGTAGGTTAACACATGATATACAAATGAAATAGACATATTATAAGTAGATAAATTTCAACCTTGATGGTGAATTAGAGGAATCATGAGAAACACTTCATGGTTATTGTCGGCACTATTTTTGGTTGGAGGAGTTGTCCATTAGAAGTTATCGGTCACCAGAATCGAAATCCCGTCTTCCGCTTCGGAAGGATATTTTAATTTACAGATATATATAAGTTTTAGAAAAATATGAAACCCATATTTTTCATAGTTTAAATAAAAGAGCACTATACCTCAAACCCTGTATCTATATCGAAGGATAAACACGACACTTGAGGATGATGTATCTATCCCGAAGGTTAAACACAAGACTTGAGGATGAGACTCGATCAAATAAACTAAGGAAAGTATAACGTTCATTTGGTCTGTGAAACCTTTGTATTTGCCGACAAATTCCATTATTTAATATAAAGGATTAAATAAGATTTATATTAAGCTGGGTTTTGACATGCTTCCTATAAGCGCATGCCCCTATAGTTAATTGCATCTTAAATGACCGAAGTCGCCTAAGAAAACTCTCGATAAAAATCAGAAAATATTGTCTTCAAAGAGGTCAAAGGGATATGACTTTTCAACAAAATCGGACAAAGAGGTGTGAAATGGGAAAGACTCAAATTTTGAACATTTTATTATAAAATTCAAAGGAGTAAGAGCTAGGGAATATCATAGATCCGGAGGAGAACCTCAGTGACTTCCTAGTCTATCCTATTGTTTGGCTTCAATTTTGAGGAGAAATTATTTAAGTGTTTCATTCTGCCAATTTGATTTGTTTAGGGCTTACATTCATGTAAAACAATCACACAAATAGCCTGAAAGATGTGGTGATTTAGGTCATGACGAACGACAACCTCGAAATCCTAAGAGGAGTTAGGGCTTATATTGTACAGTAGAGTTGAACAAAGGCCAAAAGATGATTTGAGGACTTATGTTGCATAAGCAAACTACCTCGAAGTTTTATGGCTTGTTGTTTAATTCTAAGGAAGGGAGTTGGTTTAGCTGG